AACCCCACCCCCTAGCCCCCAATATAATCCACTCTACAACCCTCATTGCATACTCCTACGATAAAAATAATGCCCTAAAATATAATACTTTTAGATTCTTAATGCTTGCTTTGTGGAAGTTAAGTCTCTAAGCCTTTCTTCTGAGGTGCTTCTCAGAACCCCCAAGCTTTTAAGCACGCTGATCACTTGTACTACACAGTCTACAAAGAAATTATGCCCAAACCCCAAATCCATTGCCACTAGGTCGGTTCCAGCACAATCCCACGTGTCACAGAGTAGAACTGGCCCACAATCTCCAGACCTTTCATCTACGGAGCTAATGAGTGAGACCGAACTGCCAACTTCTAGGTTGGCTATCGAGCACACCCTTTCAGATCCATTGTTAACAGTCTCTATGAGTCAGAGTTGATTTGCTAGCAGATAACAAAGGACCTTAAAGAAATAATAAATGGGGAGGGGTAACCCACTCCTCTCATGGAGTCAATCCTGATTCATGGTGACATTTCATCAGGTTTAAGTCTTTACAAGAAGAGGACACTACCCATCTTTCTTCCATAGAGTCACTGGTGGACTCAAACTGCCAACCTTTGGATTGGCAACCCAATATGCAATACATCAAAGAAATACATTCTCTCTCGTTGTTGTGTCAGAACCAACTCAGAGCTGTCTCTCCAGCAGGTTTCCAAGGCTATCAATCGAATGGAAGGAGATTACCCACCTTTCCCCCACTAGAGATTGCTGATGCAATGCAATTTCCTACAGACTAGGCCACCAGACTTTTCAATTTTATCTTCCCTTACTCCTACTCCTCATCAGAGCTCTGGTGGCTTAATGGTAAGGAACTGGATGCTAACCCAAAGGTACACAGTTCAAATCCACCAGTATCTCCGTGGGAGAATGTTGGGCAATCTCTTCCCATATAATTAACTGTCTCTGAAAACTCACTGAAGGGTCAGCTATGGGTTGATTCCTCCTTGATGATATACAACAACAACAACTCTTCACCAATGCTGAAGGTCTTAGTTGTCAATCAAATGGAAAAAAAAACCCCACAAAACACAAACCCACCTAAACCCACTGCTGCTGGGTTTATTCTGACTCAGGTAACCCTCTCTCAGGTTTCTGAAGCTGTGAATCACGAGGATCAACCTTTCACCAAGCAGCCCAACACGGAAAGCATATTCCACAGGCCTCCTTTACTCAAATGTGTTCACCCAAATGAGTAAAGAAGTGTGTGCCTCTTGCAGGTCCCTATTTGCAAGCAAGCTTCTTTTGATGCAAATAGGATTCTGCCTCTTTCTCACAGAGAAAGGCGCTAAGAGGATTAAAAATGGGCTTAGAAACAAAGCGAACATGAAGGGCCCACGCAGCAGTTAACCACCCTTTAGCTGTGTGGCAAATCTGTTTTCAATTAGCAAATCAGAACATAGTAATTTATGGCGTCCAAGCAGCTACTTTCCCGGTGAGACACTCTCTGTGCTGGACCTTGCATGCCCCTGTTTGCCTGTTGCTAGGGCGACCGTTGGTCTTTGTGGGGAGGGCAGGGAGGAGTTGCAGTGAGGCCCCTTCCCTGCTGTTGGCAAGGCAGGGAGACACATGAGAGGGAACCAGCCACCCTGCACGGATTCCAGCTGCTCTCAGGGACAGCTGAGATGCTTCTCTGAGGTCCTCTCCTCTCACATCAACATCGTCCTGGGCCAATGTTTCCATAGTGACAAAACTTATGGAATTGTATATGTGAGCAGAAGTGGGACGAACTAGGGCCTGAAACAAAGGGCTGGTTTCAAACAATAGAGAATTTATAGTAATTGAGCAAGAGTAATCCCAGGGAAAACAAGGAGATTGGGGATGAAGAGAGCGAGTGAAAAGACTGTGAGGTCTCCCTTAAGACACATTATTTAAATTCAACTAAAAAAGAAAAAAATCCCCAACTTTCCATTTGGTCATAGGCCTCCCAGGATGTCTTTTAATTTGTTTCCTTCTTCTAGTTTTTGTGCCATATACAATCAGGTTTAAATATTCGAAGCCACCCAGAGAGGCCTCCAAAGACTGGCAAACTATTTCAGAAAGCAGTTATTGAAAAACATAAATAGTACTATTTTCCTCTGCCCATGTGAGTTTACCATGAGATACAATAGCAATGGTTGGATGGCTATAACAGGCAACTAGTTAGACTACTTCATTATGATGAATAACTTCAGAAGTATAGATGGGAACACAGTAATTTGTCATTAATACAGCTCTTTTAAGGATAGAGGTAAGAAGCCGTGCTGCAATCCCAGAGGCACGTGGCTCAAACCCACTAATGGCTCCGCTGGAGAATGGACAATCTCCTTCCATGCAATTTATTGCCTGAGAGAAACCCACTGGTGGGTAGGTTATGAGTTCTGGTTCAATAGCATACAACAACAACAACACAACAGTTGTGTGGTGCATTATGTGTTGGACTGCTAACAGAAAGGTTGCTGGCTTGATCCATCAGTCATTCTGTAGGAGAAAGAGAGGCAGGCAAGCTTTCCTATAAAATGCTGGAAACCTGACAGAGGGTCACTGTTGTTGTTGTTATGTGTTGTCGAGTTGTCTGTGATTCATAGTGACCCCATAGCACAACAGCCCTAAATCCTGCTCTATCCTGTGCCAATTTCACTGTCTCCAACACATCCACCCCAATTACCCCAGTCACTCAATCAATCCACCTCATAGAAGGTCTTCCTCTCCTGCACTGTCCCTCCACCCTCCCAAGCATGACGTCCTTCTCCAAGGACTGGTTCCTCCTTCCAAAGTATGTCAGATGAAGCTTCAGAATCCTTGCCTCCAAGGAGCAGCCTGGAGACTAAGGTGTGCCTGATACAGGTCATGGTCTTTGAAATCACTTGCTATGTGTCAGAAAGCTGGACAATGACTAGGAAGGATAGAAGGAGAATTGATGACTTTGAGCTGTGGTGCTGGAGAAGAGTATTGAATATACCATGGACTGCTAAGAAAATGAACAAGTTCAGCCTAGAGAGGCTTAAACCAGGCTGCTCCTTGATACCAACAGAGAGGGCCACTAGGGTAGGAATGAACTTGTTCGTGGGTTAGTTAAAACTATTTTAGTAACTTGGACCACTGTACAATGACTTCGTTTGATTGCCTCTGATAGCTGGAGATACGGCACATACGATATAGTGTGTGGTATTGGAATGAGCTTGTCCACTGCTTTTCAAGAAAGATTTTAAACATCTCTGCTTGTCAGATTTTCACTCACTCTGAGGAGCATCCTCTGGTCTGTTAGATGATGTCATGAACAAAGGCAAAGATGTGAGACTTTCACCTTATGAAAGGCAATCTCAAGAGATTTTAACAACAACAAAGAGATACTGACATAGGGTGTGTAGTCTTTCTGTGTATGTGCTCTGAGAAAAATGCTGCATCTCTGAAGCATCCTGGGTGGAGATTTATGCTTTGGAGTGCCCCTGTTAATGTTCATTTTCTCTGTTGCTAGAAATACTGTTTTCCTTCACTTCACCGTAGGTAGCGTTATTTCTGGAACCTTGTCATGGCTCAACCAGGTATGTGTATCCTATAAATAACCTTCCAAACTATAGGTTTTGGCTGAGGTAGGGATAGAGGAGAATCTTTGAGGATTTAATAACAGCCCATGTGTCAGTTCTAGCAAATGATGAGTGTCTGTTCTTTATTCAGTCTTTCCCAAGGAAAACATCTAAATCTGTCACCAGTACTCATAATTGCTTTAGAGACCTCACTTTCAGGGAATTCTTCTGATGACTTCCAGAAAATAGTGTCATTGCAAAGAAGGAAAAAAGCATCAGACAAAAGCAAAAATTTAATACCTATTTTATGTGAGAATTCCAGAAAGTTCCATGTATCTCAGACAGGCTAAAGAAAGAGAACAATGAATCCCTGATTTTTTCATGTAATGCTTTGTTTTGGTGTGTTGTGAATGCACTCAGCAAACATTTACTTAATGACTCAATAAGAATGCATTCACTTTTCTATAGACTTTTCTGGAGAAGTGTTTTATGGCTTTCATCAGTTTAAATTTGGTAAAATTTGCTAAAAAGTACCATAAGACATTCAGTCCATATGCACAAACTGTGGTCTAAATAATGCCGGTGTCCACTTCTGTTCAGAACACACAAGAGCAGAGAATTTTAAACTGTCCTGTGTACATGGATCCCTGGGATCTGGTTAAAAACTTGGGCTCTGACGCAGAAGTCCTGGGCTAGAAACTGAGAATCTGCATTTCTAAAAATGTTCCTAGGCGTGCCAATGCTGCTTGCTCCAATGCCATGTTTAAATTTCTGAGCATCAGAGGCCCAAAGCCCAAGTTTAAACAGAGCCCTTTCAAAGTCAAAGGCCCCAAGGAGCATTTCCTTACCTTCTTCGACTGTTGACAGCGATGCAAACTGCGAGAATCAAAGCCAAGGCCAACAGCGATGCCAAGATGATCAGCCACTCTGGGTTGAAGGAACCAAAAGACGTGTGAGCTTTGGAAATGGACTTTGTTTTAAAAAAAAAAAAATAAAAATCAAAACATACCGCACAAACTGGTCCAAACAAAGATGAGAGCATGGCAGATGGCCCCAGCCAAAGGCCCGGCCAACAAGAAAATAATGTTGGAAAAACAATTTTGCTACAGATGTTTATCCAGCAGGCCTCTTGTTTTAAACTTTTATCATCAAACAGGATTTTCAAGTTTCTCCAGGAGAAACGTATTTCCAAAATCTTTAGAATGAGTAAGTGAGACTTGGAGATGTATTTGGCATCATATTAGTAAACAGATTAAGGAAACGTATGTGTCCCTCGAAAAGAACGTTCTTCTATATAAGAACGTCAACTTCACATTTTACTAAGCAACAAAAATAGAGGTCCAATTATAGCATGAGAGGAGAAAGGAACATACTTATGGAGGACTGAAGGATTGCAAACCTGGGCATGTTCACTGGAGGAGAGTCATTTGGTAAATTTGCCAAAAAACCTTTCCAAACGTTCATGCCTTTAATCCAGCGATTATATTTCCAGGTATTGAATAGAGCTCAGGATTAGCTGTTTGGACATTAACTAGCTACTGTGCCACTTAGGAGAGGAGAAGTTGGAAGCAATCTAATATCCTACAGTTAGATATCGGCAAAATAACTTGAAGCATGGTCATTATACTGTCCACTATGATGTAGGAGAAGAATACTTAATGACTTTGCCGATTAGTTGTTGCTGATATTGTGTATTTTCAAGCTGGAACCAATCCACCGCTGACCCTCCAGAGGATGTATGGTATAAATATATTTTAAAATATAAATGGCATTGAAAAATGATGATTAAATAAAATAATAACAAAACGCTATTACACATTTCGGCCCAAAATAGTAATGGCACCAAATGCTGACAAATTCTCATGAACCAACAAGAACTCCAGTTAATGAACTGCCAGTGGAAATGCAAAACGGCACAGCCAGTTTAGAGGACAATCTGGTAATTTCTTACAAAGTTAAACATAGAGCCTTACTGTACAACCAGCAATCACATTCCTATTTACTCAAATGAGCTGGAATTTTCACCTAATCAGGAATTCTTATAGCATCATTGCCAATATTTGGAGGCCACCATAACGTGCTTCCATAAGCGAGTGGATAGGCAAACTGTGATACAGCCATACAATGGCGATAAGAAGAACTGAGCGCGCGAGGCACAGAAAGGCAGGGAGAACCCTTAAGTCCTTATCGCCATGTGACATCGATCAGTCTGAAAAGCCTACACACAATATGCTATTCTGGAAAAACTTTGTAGATAGTAAGGAGTGGTTTCCAGAGGTTCAGGGTGTGAAAGGGGAGGATGAGCAGATGCAACACAAGGCAATTTTAGGATAGTGACTCAATTCCATGTGTTACTAAATGGTAAACATCATACATTTGCTAAAACTCAGAGCTATACAACACAGAGAGCGAATCCCAATGTGTGCTGTGGACTTGAGTTACTGCTGGTGCGTCAACACTGCTACCCCAATTACAATGACTTTATGACTCTAAGGCAAGGTGGTAATAAAAGGGACAATTTGTGAAATGGGGAGAAAGGGGATATATGAGGGCCTTCAACACTTGCTGGAAACCTAAAACTTCTCTAAAAAAATAAAATCGACTAGTAAAAAGATGACAAGAGGAGTAGACATAAAAATGATCACCACAGTATTTCTGGATGGCAAAAGAGTAAGTCATTTCTATTTTTATGCTTTAATTCAACCATATTGTCTAAAATCTCTTCAGTAACTATGAATTAATTCTGGATAAAAAAATGCTTATATAAACATTTTAAAGTCAGGTCTTAAAAGGAGCAGGTATGATTCTAGCACACCCACATTTTAAAAATTTGGGTCTGTTCCAAATTCAATGCATTGACTATGACTGAACCTATTCAATTCAGTTCAAAGCCCTGGTTTGAGGAGGAAAGTCCAGTAAGAGGGTAGGAAACTCCTCAGGAAGATATTATATCTCTTCTTTGCCCTTGATGGGGCCTGGAAATGTCTCACACTCAGTCTCTCTAAAGCCGAGTAGAATTTTGCTGTCTAGTTATGGGAAACCCACTTTCTTCCTTCAGATTCTCTGCCTTTAGGGACACCTGATGTGAGGCAAGAAGGCAAAATACAAACACATTGTTCCCTTCAAGGAAGAAAAATTCTTTGATTTGGGGATGAGCGAGATCTCATGGAATCTTCTGTGTAATCATTGATTTGGGAAGGAAATAGTAGTAACTAATATGGTACTTTTTAGGACTGATGTAATATGAGTTTGATTGGTGAGACCCCCTCAAAGCGTCCCATCTTGTCCTACAAAAAGGCTGTTGTGCCTTTCATCCTATAACATTCACGAGAATGGACTTTTGAATTAATTGTCTCTTCTCTCTGTGTCTCAGGAGCCTATGTTATGCATCTTTCTTAGCCTCTCAGCTTGGAAACTCACCTGGGACTTGGGCTTTCCTCATAGGAGGAGTTGTTGTGTTGATCCCACCTTCTTGACTCCCACTTGAATGTCCTGAGGAAAAGAACAATAACTTTCAATCATCTTTTGAAAGGTACAATAAGTCCCTCACAGAATACCACACAGGTCAACTCGTCTGTCTGTCCCCACCTTCGTCAAAGTGCAGCCACTTACAGGCTCAACCTACAGATGTCTAGAGAACATTGTAAAAAATTTAGAAAAGGGAAGGAAAAAAGGTGCTTTTGAATCAAGTCCTGCACATGGTAACCTTAACTGTTGGGAACGTGGACCAGATTCCATAGAATGTTCTTGACTGTAATCTTTACGGAAGTTTATTACCAAAGCCTTGTTCCCAGGCAGAACTGGGTGAGCTCAAACTTCTAACCTTCCCGTTGACAACTGAGTACAAATCATGCCAGCTAAGGACTTGAAAATGCTAAACGAACAAACAAAAAACCCATCTCCCTTGAAAAGGTCAATCTGATGAAGTTTGAGGTTTGAGGACGTTATTATTTTTTATTTTATCAAGAAATATGAAGATTCTCACTGGTAATCTTACACAGTGTTTTAAGCTCTTGGACTTCAAGGAAGACCTGCATCCCATCTCTGGACCTCATCCTAGTAGGGTGTGCATGCTAGACCCAGGTACCTGCTCTAAGTCTCCTTTATTTAAATGTTGTTGTTGTGTGTGCCATCAAGTAAGAATTGACCCTTCACTGACCCTGCAAGCGGGTTTTCAGAAGCAGTAAATCATGCAGGAGATTACCCATCTTCCTCCTGCAGAGCAGCTGTTGGGTTCCAACCACATACTGTCAAGTTGACAGCATAATCCCTTACCACTAAACCACCGGACCTCCTACTGTAGGGGTTGTTGTTATGTGCTGTCAAGTTGAGTCAGAACCAACTCATAGCTGATACTCCATCAGGGTTTTCAGAGGCAAGAAATCACCCAGGAGGCGATTGCCCATCCTTCTCTTCAGAGCAGCTGGTGGACTTGAAGCTCGTGCCTTGGGGATGGCAGCACAGTTTCTAACCACTAGGCCACCAACGCTTCCTACTAGAATCCCTGCTAATAATACAGTAGTAGTGAACACAAGTTCCTGATGTGGGGAGAATGAACATCTTCTATTGATAAGAAAACGAACCAATTAAAACCCTCAAACATAAGACAGAGAACTCATCCATCATGTAAATGACAGCAGCAGCTGATTTTGTAAAGAAACGTGTCCAGCTAGCAAGGCTTTGTTTTGTTATGCTCTGTCCCCTCTAAACCAGAAATGTTAACTTTCCCATTAAGATGAACCTTTTCTCCAGTAAACAGGAGCCACTGCATACCCCAAAAGTTCTGAAAGCAAAAGCTCAAGGAAACTTGTTTGCTTAATACGTGGATAAGGACAGCCAGGCCTTCAAGAAAAAGTTTTCCTCAGAGTCAATCTTTAGACCATGCACAGTAGAACATTCACGTCTTGATTACAATGGTTGTTTTGGATAGATGGTGACTGTTCATTGTAATTTGACGCTTCTGTTGAACTAAAAATGGAGCAAAACCAATTCTTCCCAGATGCCTGGCCGTTTCGACACACCTCATCCCATTCTGGCAGGAGCCTCTTACCCCGCATTCAGCTGAAGCATTTGCAGGCCCTTTGCAGAGTGCTTGCTTTTGGTGGCTGGCAGGTTTTCGCCTGTACAAGTCATGAGACACAGGCCATCTCCCTGGAAGATCTTTGGCCTTGAAAACCACTGAAGAAGAGCTCGCTCAGTCTCTCTTGCTGGCCTTTCTCTGACTCACATCAGCCTTTGATATTTGAAAGGGAGGCCATTAATGGATCATAATCTCTTTATTTGGGTTCTCAGAAAAAGTGCCCCCAGCAAGGAAAGATCTGGGTGTGTGTACAACCAGCTGAAACCTCCTGTTTTAACAATAGACACCTGCACTGGAGTCAAACAAAGGGAGCCAGCTCCCGCCCATCTGCTTCTCACTTCAAGCAAAAGCTGAAGCAGTGGGACGAGATACAGCAGGCCTCCCTTTGGGCCCCAGAGAATGGCAAATCCAGCTAGGGTAGGACTGCCTGGGAAAGCAAGTTCCACAAAGAGGGGCGTTGGACTCTCCAAGACAGGGAGATGAGATCCTATCTGAGATGTGCACAGAGATAATTCAACTGCCTTTAACTGTGAAGAAAAAAGGTTATCGCGTCTCCAAACATCCTGGGTGTGAGTCTCATTAAAATGCAGATCCCTGTTCAGTGAGTCTTGGAGGGTAATAGTTGCTGCATTTCGATGTGACTGGAGTGTCTTGACTTCAGTGACAACGTCTTTTAACAACTCCCTTCATTTTCAAAGGAGTCCCAGGTTGCTGCACATGGTTAAGCACTTAGCTACTAGCATGACTTGAATAATTGTCTTTCTCTTTCTCCATCTTAACATGTGCCTATTACCCAATTTTATTACTATTTATTCTCTTCATAATTTTACTTTCTTCTCCCTCCCTTGTTATTTTCTGTAATCATCCAATAATGAATGATTCTATCAGACCTTTCCATAGCCATAACCAATCTTACACAATACTTGTCCTTTTCTGACTATTTCATCTGACATAATGTCCTCTAGATGTATCCATGTTTATGCAAGGTTTCTTGAGCTCTTTATTGTTTCCTTGTGTTGCATAGTACTCCACAGAGCCATTTATAAAGAGCCCCTACCACCCTGGGCTCTTGTATATAAGGTTATTACAGAAGTCATGCCTTGTAAATGTCCATCTTAATATTTCTTTTACATATGTGAATATTTAAGCCAAGAGGCAACACTAGCCCCACCTTAGCCATGATGGTAGAGGACAACAATTCACAAGGCTTTGCCTGGATTTATGGTTGATTAAAGAGACTATGGTAAGCCATTATCAATGACAGAGCCCATCAGGAGCCCCAGCAATAGTTGTCAGGATCTCCATTAGTCGTCAAACCTCCATCATGCCAGACTTCTGATTGGAATAACACTTTCAGGCATGGGAACTGAGTCACAGCAAACAGGAATGAATTTAAAATGCATGCCTAATAACTATGGTTATTACAAAGTGCATTCTTCAGATCATGATTATGAAAAGCAACCTGAGACCCTCTGTGCTTTAAATCTGGTTTCACTACTCCTTTGCTTTGTCAGCTTGACTTTAGTTTCCCCATCTGCAACATGGGGATAACAGGTTTTAGGGTGTTTACATGAACTGATATTAGATGAGCATAGGTAACTGTTGATACTTTCTTTTCCTTGACTTTCAGAAATTTTCTTTTCAAATGGTTGAATCTAATACATGTTTTTCATATAGTGCAATTTTAGTATTGAATACACTGGTGCATGATACGTTGTTATTGTTGTGTGCTGTTGAATTACAGCCGACTCATAGTTGACCCTCCAGCAGGTTTCCAGAAACAGTAAGTCTCACAGGAGGAGATTGTCCATCCTTCTCCCTCTGAGCAGCTGGTGGATTGGAAGTGTGAGCCTTTTGGATTGCAGCACAGCTTCTTACCACTAGGCCACCAGAGCTCTCAATAAATACTAGCTATTATTACCATGGTCAGAAATTATGATAATGTTTTACATAAGTTCCATAATTTTATTTTTAAATAATGACCTGTAGCAATCACAGGAGCCAAATCTTATTGGTTAGGAGATTGAGTCTCAGACTCTAAATATTCGACCCAGTTAATATGTGGAGAAGCGATTCTGCTCCGGCTGTTATTACTCCATAAACACAATTTCTAGAATTGCTGTGCTGTGTGTATTGTTAATTGTAAATTGAGACCTTGTTTAAATTGCTCCTAATCCTTTCAGATGGAAGACTTTTTCCCCCCTCCAGAATAGTTCACAAAGTGTAGTCCCTGGCTCATCACCAGTATTGGCAACTAGAATTACAAATGCTCAGATGAATTCAGGACCTACTGAGTTAAAAGACACAAGGGTAGGACTCAGTCATACCATTTTTAACAAGCCTTTCTGGTAATTCTATGGGAATCCTTGGGTGGTGCAAAATAGTTGACACACTTGACTCATAAAAAAACATTAGGCCCCCACAGAGGCATCATGGAAGAAAGGCCTTGTGACTGAATTCTGAAAAATTAGCCATAAAAAGCCCTATAAAAGACAATGCTAATCTTACACACATGGTGTTGCCATTAGCTAGAGTCAACTCAATGGCACCTGGAACTAGTCCTGATGATCTGATGCATTATTCAAAAATGAGAATCATTCTTCTAGAGGTACAAATGTGTAACTTCATTAATAGTCAGTAAGCTCAGTGATTATTAAAAAAACAAATGGGGAAATCAGTTAAAACTCACCAGCCGATTCAGATCCATGAGTCGTATGGGATTTTCCACCAGTCTCATCGTCATTTCTGTGACCTGTAATGAGCCACCAGAGAAGGTTCAATGTCATGTGTTTCCACTTACACTGCCATCTGCATTGCCTCCTGTTGGAATTGTCATACTTTCCATCACAAAATCCAGTCTTTAAAAGGGAATAAAAAAGGTATGGCAAAGAATCCTTGAGTGGTAACTGACTTAAAAGCAAAGCATCTGGGGCAGCTAGACAATAGGAAGTGCGGGCTTTTCAGTCATCCAAGGACTACAGTGAACAGCCCAACAACAATATTGTGATGTCTTTACAGGTCACGATGTATTTGCAGTTGAGATGATACACTTCGTAACATGAAAAGTGTGAGCACTGGGATTGTGGCTGAGGGTATGAGACGTTTTAAAAGATTTCACTGAAGCAAGAAGTAGAAAAAAGATTTGGGTTTGCAGGGAGGTATCTTTGTATTAAACTATGTAAGACTCGAAAAGTCAACTACATATTCAGAGAAAGATTGGAAATAGGGATCAGGAGATGGAAGTTAACATGTGAACAATGCGTACTTACTTTGTAAAGGCATTAGAATAAGTTTTAAATATTGACTATTTTTCAAAATTCAAATTATCTTATATTCATAATTAATGTAACTCCATCTTCTCAGGCACACATTACCTAAACATTTAGATTGAGATAAGCCCATAACTTGCTAAAATGTCAAACCATTGATCAAATCTTTGATTCAGTAGACACAACTCCTTCCATTCTCTCAATCCTTCCCCTGCCCATACACATTATCCAAAATTCTATTAACCTTCAAATGAGATCACAGAACAATGGTGTCATAAAACAGCCATCATTCGACATAAGAACGGTAGTAACATGATCTCTACTATTTCCTTGATTAGAGAAGATAGAGGAAATTGTCTCATAATTTTTCAGGCAATTGCATTGAAAAGACAGATTTCTTTGTTCCTTGTATCACAGTGAAAATAACTGAAAACATCATTTGCTGAAATGTCAGCACCAATATCTCAATCCCCAGCAGCACCACCACCACCACGACCACGACCACGAACACCTCTGCCACCACCACCACTACCACCACCGCCACCACCATTGCCACCACAATTCCAAATGCTCTATTTCCTAACATTGAACATAAAGATTGGGGGGGAAGGGATATAGACAAAACCATGCATACTTTATTTATTAACAATTAACTACATACACCTTCTAGGACATTGTAACTAGTAAAATTGTTTAAAATTTCATTTCATTAGGCTGCACCAGCAAGTGCTATTTTTGCCAAGAGAAAATAGAATTCATTTCTCCCAAAAAATACTAAAACTGCTACTTGGAATTTTTAATATGGAAGAAAACCATACTGAATAAATACCTCATCAGTGTAAGAGACTTTATTAATGCCAATATTTCCTGAATAAGCACTTTTTAAAAAAATTTATTAATTTTAATGAACATTTACAGAGATTTTGGATTTTTAAAAACAATTTTTCCTTAAGGCCTCAGATGAATGAGGTCAACCAGGTAACATCCTGGGTTTTCTCTCTCCACATCACTCAGAACATCTTGCCTGTTCTGCTTTCTATATTGGATTCATATTGGATATTTTTTTTAGACTAAAAATTTGGATGCTAAACAATATATGACAGACAAGCATTTTAGTGAAAGGAGTAAGCAACTCCATAGCACATAGCAACAACAACAGAATTTAAAAAGTTCCTAATAAGGAAAATAATATTTAAAGTCCCCAATCTTTAATATACCTTAGTGATTAGGTACTTAGAAACACTTGAAGAACTAGCAGTCGGAGAGGAGAATCCATTTTTATTTTCCCAACCATAGTGAGTATTTTTCCAGTTCTATTTTCTTCAGTTTTAATTTCACAACGGAAATTGAGAAACAAAGAAAAGCAGCAGTAGAGTTATTGTTAAAGAGAAAATCAGCTTACATGTCAAAGCAAATTCTTTGGTCATCTCTTTGCCATTACAACAAGAAATATGGTACAAATTAATTAGTAGTAAGTGCCACATACTTTCAACACCGTGCATTACAACTAGGTAAGTTTATCCACCATCCCGTCACCAAAAGCAAAGATAATCATTTCAGCAAATGTTTTGTTATCTGTGTTTTTACACCACCAACACAAAAGGTACTAATTTAGAGGAAGGCTATTAGAATATAAAAATGATTCACACAGATGAGTAAAATCTTACTGAATAGGCAATATGTATTAGCTGAAATCGCCAATATTAAGTATTTTGGTCCACAAAAATGCCTCTTTCTTATGGTTCCAGTTTATATGTAGTAAGATCTGGATATAGATAGAGCTAAGAAATTCTTTCATAACAATCAAGTCACAGAAAGAGATGAAATTACACTGGTAAATAAGAACATTGTTTTATCTGACATAGCTCAATCCAAGGTTACATGTAGTGTTGACAATCAGTGGTGAAAGTCATTGCCACATCATGAACTAGTGTAATCACAGCCAAGATAGAAAATGTTCCCTGTGATTTGGAAGCAGGTGGTAATTCTCCCTGTAGAAAAAGCAAAACAGAGAACAAATGTGCAAATTACCTGGAAATATATACTCTACATCAGAGCTGGAATCTCCAACAACAGAAACTTCAGTCAGTCCTTGGGACTCAGTCATACCAGAAGTGCCTGGGATGAGGGTCGTGTTTTCCTTTGTGTCTGAGAAACGAGGGGTATAACCTTCTGCTGTTGTTGTTGAGTCTTCAGGAAGATTTTCACTTCTTCTTCCACCACCTCTGCCATCAGTCCTATCTGCTTGGAGGTGGAATCAATGGTAAACCGACAATTGTAAAGCTAGTGCCCCTGTGAGTTGTCTCCAGTACATGCAATTGCTGCAAAAGCCTTTCCTTTCAGCTCATTACACATGAACCAAGAAGAGACACTGAGGTGCAGCACTCAGCAGAAGAGACTTCTGTGATGCTAATAGCAAGAAGAGACATTGTTGGTGTCATTTCCACTGTGACCTTGATGCTCAACCAGGCACTAGATAACCACGAGCCTTCTCTTAATTGGATCCACCATTGATGATGATGTTGAGGAAACACACAATTGGATTTGAAGGTAAAACGATTTTGCATATAATCTCAATGGCAAATGCAAGATTTCAAAGACCTTGGGTTACAAATTTAGGGATTTTCCCCCCCTTATTTAGAAGGGTACTGCTTCTTTGTCATCAGCACCATGGATTTATAGTTCTGAGGACAAATAATAATACTGTGAAAGCAAGGAGTATAGCGAACGATATGAAACCGACTTTTAAGGTAATTATACATCAATGTAAGTGATTCATTATTTTTAAACCAAGACATTAAGAAACTTGACCTATATAATGATTAAGATATCAAGTTTGCACCTAAGGCACAATGACTACTAAGAGATCTACAAAGCAGAGAAATCAGAACCACCACTAGACGCACCTCCTAATCAAAAGTGACAGGATGACACTAGTCAGTTGATGCACCTCCACCACAGACACTGTAAAAGCACCCAGAAGAGATTGATTTTCTTTGTAAAGAGTTGAAATCAACTGGGCTTTATAATTCTTACTGCTGGATGTGGGAGCAGTTGTTGGACGGTCTTTTTCCTCTTCCAAGCCTTCGTGTTCGGTAGAGAAGCTCTGAGAGTGACTCAGCTCTGTTTCAATGAAGGATGAATCCAATGTTAATTTGGAACCGTGATACAATTTCTCTGTCAGCTACCCACAAGCAAGATCTAACTATGGAAATATCGAAGACAAATTAAGTGCAAAAAAGAACATATTTTATACACAGCATCCTCTCTTTGACTTATTTATACAAATGTACAAGAGAATTGTTTTGCTCCTGGTTGACTATGAGCGATGAATCTCTTTGTTGGTCAGAACGATCAGCTAAAGTGAAATGCCAAGTTGAAATCAGAGTCATCCTCATCCAATTATATGGCTGCCAGTCACTCAGAAAACCAGAGAATATAAACACACGTGAAAGGAAACCCTTGAATGGCAGTGTTCCTATTAACAGTCAAGAATACTTGGGATAAGATATGAGATTGTATTAAACATGAATTTCATAACAACAAGTGGTATATCTATGACCACAAGAAAGAAGAGAGTTCATATAGAGGGCTCAAGTAAGTCAGATTCAATTTAAACATGCAATTCTGCAATTGTTCTCCAAAGAGCATGAAACTGAAGTTGCCATTTTACTGTATTCGGTTGTTTATTATCTCATCTCTGGATGGCATTCTCATCACTGCACCACGAAACGCTTGCCTGGGCAAAGACAGAGCCCTCAGGGACATATATCAATTTGAGGCTGCGCCACTGCCATATCTAAAGCAATTTGTTTTCAATTAATTTCTTTTGTGTTCTTCTAAGATAGGTCTTGACCTTTGAGTTACAGGTGGAAGCACCTCATAAAGTGTACCCACAAGCCGTGTTCACCACCAAATAACTATTATAACCAGGAGAGAGAGAGAGAGAGAGTCACCAAACCCAATATAAGGATAATGTCAACAGTGACATTAAATAGAACAGCCTTCCAATGGCAGAAGCCCTTTCTAGACATATTTGCATCTCCTTTGATGCTTAACCCTGTGCTATTTACATTGTTGGCAATCAACACGTGCTGACGGTTTGTTTTTTTATTTTGCCTAATAGGGTTCATATGAAAGACTTCTGCCCATTATATGTAGCTAGTAGTAAGATAAGGCAGACGGCTCTCTTAATTCTGGATTGCTTTCATGTTCTGCCAAAAAATGATGAATGACTGATTGCTGGATATCCCTGTGTGAAGAGTGAATGAAGGCTACTAGAAGTCCAACATTGATTCCTACCAGATGTTTAGTGATAGAAAAATCTTTGCAAATGTTCCTTTTTGTTCCAGGGGCGCTCCTGCCTCTGTGAGCTGTCAACAACATGCTTTGTCCCGCCCTGTGGGTTGATATAATTTCTCTCCTCTTTATGAACAACTGGCCTTTAAAGGTATTTTCACAGACATTTTAAGCAACCCTTCCTCTCTTCTGCCTTGATCAGAAGACAGACAGAAATCATAGGAAATGCTCAGTTAAAACATGGAGAATGAACTGTCCTAACAATGGCCTTGTACTTCACTGACATGGCTATGGAGAGAAGGAAAATAAAATTAAATAGAGTTCCACAACATTTTAAAGTATAAAGCCAGTGAATCTGGAAGGCACCAAGAATGAAGAGAAAAAAACACCCTTAAAGAACCATCACCAAGGAAAAATAGATAATGAAGACAGATTTACACATTAGGTTGAGCTGATCAGTATAGAACTAAGCACACCATTCCACCACCAAGCTCTGACAGGTTGGCCAATCCAAGAACAGAACAAGAGTACAAGCCAGTAAAGTGGCTGAGTGTCATCATCCTTACGAGTTGTCATTGAACGAGGTCCTGTCCTGTCCCACTCTTCTTCCAAACCTCTGTTTGGATCTGCAGTAGGCTGAAGTGTTGTGCTATGGCTGGAGTCCATATCTGAAGGAATTAAATCAGCGTTATTGCTTGATTTCCTAAACCGCTACCCGAAGGTGCTTCATATCTTCTCTAGATTCAAGCACGGAGAAGAAGAAAGATAATACCTGTTGTTTCAAGTTTCCAGAATTAGGATAGATTATGATGTCTCCCAATTAGCTTTGTAAAAAGTATGTGCCTTTCATTAAGGGAGTGAGATATATATTCTTTTTCTTTTTTCCTATCTTGGAAGGGTTACGTATAAGCACATGTAATATGACACATAAAGAAAATGCAAAGTACACTGGCTTAGATGCCATTTTCTCCCATCTCTTTTGCCTGTCAAAGGAACGTATTTACAAGGCTCTGCCTTTGTTCTGTCCTTTTTCTCTTCACAAAGTGCACATGAAAATAAAAGCACAGAAAACATCCTCCAATACCACCCAGGTGATGGCCACTGGAAGGGCATATGGGCAAGAAGCAGAAGCAGCAGTGAGTGCCACTGAACCATTTTAACATCTCAACACAGCGAGAGATGCCTCCGGGATGTGACATGCACAATAGTGAATTGTGCAGAAGTTACACTGTCCTATTTAGAAATTCTGTTTTTCTATCACAGACCTATTCTGCTGAAATAGTAGGTCCTAAGTGAAGTTGAGGCCAAACAATCTGTAAACACCGTCAATATTGCTGACTTGCCAATTCAGTCAACACCTACTCATACTTCTGCCTCTGGAGACATTTAGTCGGTCCCAAGTGACTCCAGAGGGAAGCACTGAACAGTGGACATTCATCTGCATTGCATTCTTTACATGCAAAAATAAAAGTGAAGGCAAGTCATTGACTAGCAAAAAAATGTAGTTTCCTTTATTCCTCCAGATTTAAAAAAAAAAAAAAAAAAGAATATGGGCCAGTGAGCCCAAATAAAGTCCCAATTGAATTTTCTTCCTGAAAAATTTCTGCCTGTTGAAAGTATAAATTCTTGTTCATCTTCCCTTTAATAAATGGGATATTTTAGGAGATGCCAAAACCATTTCATGGTTGAAGGGAAGCATATGGTTCTTGACAGGCTCATCAACCTAATGGAATCTATCTCTGTTTATTGATATGGAGACATAATACTGATCTAGAAGTTCTTTGATTAGCTTAGTTTCTCTTGCTGGATATTATCAGAGGCTCCAGCTGCAGTGTGTAGAGCATCTGTACTGGCATTGCATGTGACATGCTAGTCATTCAGCATTTTAGTCCTGAGCCAGGTACTCAAACGTTCCTTATTTTGTACAACCAAATAAAGTGTGCCAAATGCATATACTCATTCCTGACACATTAATTTCTTGGTATTCCTTCCTGTATGACTCTCCCCACAAGAAGAGGAAAAAAAATTTCCCCATTCCTTCTCTGCCCATTCAGAGATCTCCCATTTGACCCTGCCATTTTTAAAAACCACATCAAATTCGCCTTTCCCTGATACTCTGGGAAGTGTATCTGCATTCCATTTATGCTTACTGCTGGCAATGGGTATCTGACAGGTATCTGACACCTACTATTTACTGTCTCATCATTTTCATGTTTTATACATTCTTTTCCCCAACTACGTATTAAGTTGCCTAAGAGCATATCATTAATATGCTTCTGTCTCCATAGTGCTTTTTATATTAGCAGATATTTAGTACCCATTGAAGTTTAAGGAGTATTGGATAACTTGTATTTGGGCAAAGCATCTTTAGATGTTATGATGAAATATAACTAATCAAACTCTTGGATTCATTTTTGGAGATAATTTTGTGCACATACAATACCAAGAGATATAGTCATTCAGCTCTTAGAACACATTTCAGTTAAGTTTTGTGTCCTGCATACCCTACGGAAATTTAGATTCAGATAGGATCCTCAAAGTTATGACTGAAATCTCACATCCATTTCTTAGTTCTCTTGGTCCATCATCCTTTTTTAGGATGCTAGTTTTCTGTAAAGAGGATACTTTGCCATATTTCTAAAAGTGAGTAATTTGGTTAACAGGTATAGTGAGGACTTGTTCAAGAATCTTCAATTTATTTAAATACTGAGAAAAGAGGCACACCACTCACAGTTGACTCTTGAAGATTCTCTCAAAAAAGGTACAATCAGTTAAAACGAGGCAAGATTCTTTTAAAATGTAAAAATGGTTCAAATAAAATCACAGCCTTTAACTTATACAGTACTATCACTAGTCTCTTTCCCTTTCTTGTCTTTTCATTGCTGACATTTAAAAAAATAGCTAGTCTAGCTTATATAAAAATTGCTACCTATTAAATTTATAAATATTTCCTGAGGGCCAAGTGTGGTTGAAATCTTAAACACTTTCCTTGGTGAATTATCTAGAAATGTAATAGGAGCAAACAAAAAAGGTTTTCTCAGTCTTATAGTCAGTTATCTGTGTGGAATAATTAGCCATTAATTTAATACCTTTCAAATTTTCCTATTAACAACTTACATCTTTGGGTCTACAAAGGAAATAGTCACTGAATATCCATCACTTAGCTCCATATAAAATGATGCACTTAAGAAGTAAATGGCAAATATTCTTGGCAAGGCCCCTTCCTCACAGGATCACAGGAAATGACTGTTGCTCTCATCATCCTGTGACTAATTCCTTAACTCTCCTGCCAAATTCTTCACTCTCAGCTCAGAAGAATTTGATGAGTATATGTATCATTCCCACTAAGAAAGTAGACTAGTCAAAAATAATGGAATATTTCCAGGAAAACAGTCATTTGATAGAGTTCAGAAACATAGTTAGGAAAAAGCTCAGTGGTTATTACCCGTTGTTCCTCCAGTCTGATGATCTCGTCCCATGGGATGTGAGACTGGGTCGAAGAGGTCCATCTGGGAACTACTGTCCTCATGGCTCTGTGTTGTCATCATTTGAGGGGTGTGGCTGTCATGGGCTGAGGCTGTTGTGACCATGCAGGTCAAGCAATTGTCAAAATGTTAATTGACATTTGGCCTGAGAGAAATTGGGCTGTTTGGGCATTTTTATATATATTTTTTTTTTTAATTTATTTTTTTTTTCCGTTTGCTTTTAACGTCTAGACAAGACAATCAAACTATCTTCCCTGTACAAGGAGGTAAACACAAACTGTTCAAGTATATTTACATCGGTTTGTGCTCATTTTCTTACTAATCAGTATGTGACCCAAGGAATACAAAATCATTAACTTCAGCAGTGGACAGAAGATGAGTGATTGGCATCAAGAAGATGAAGAAGTAGTTCATCACCCATGCCAGACTGTGCAGTCCCATAAAAGAGGAAGCTAAGAGCACATCGAAGACAGCTATAGCCCAGAAAAGTACACCTAAGATGAGGGGTGATATAGAGAAGGAATCACACAACAGCTTTCATCTGATAAACATGAAAGCAAAAGTCATTCATGGTAAAAGCATGAATGGAATCCATTAGAAGCATTACCAGAAGGGTAATGGGATTGATAGTATAAGAGATATGTATAAATATGTAGTACATATCTTCCCTTGATTCTGTGCCAATAGAGAGATACAAGTAGGAAAAAATCACAAGAGTAGCCCGATGGAAATAATCACATGAAATAGCCAATCACCGAATCCATTGCTCTGCCTGAAATGCATTCAAAAGTTGCCATGCATTGGAAGGACATTATGCGTTACATTCTATACTACAAATGGAACCCCAAGAATGCCTCTTACTGACACCAAGTGAGAAAGTGGAACTCATCTTATGTTGTGAGGCATGATACATTGCCATTTGAATATCATGTAGACAAAAGAATCATGCAAAGGAGCTTGCAGAGTTAAGCTATCTGGCATCACTTAGAGATGATGGCAAGACTTCCAGAGCCCCCAGAGTCCAAGAATCAAGAAGATTTTATTTATTTTTTTTTGTAAGTCCAAGGGGGGGGGGGGCGGGAAGCATTGTGTACTCAAGGAGAAATCACCAAATAGAAACATGAACCAAGGTCTAAATAACAACAGACAGGTGTCATTTATCTCACATTGTCTGTCTCCACACTAGGATCCTGATTAAATACTTTCTCAACAACCTAGTACGTCATAGAACTATGTTGTCAATTCCTTTACAAAATAAAAAAGAACATTTCACAAAATTAAGGTTTGTGCTATAGGGACACAGAGGGACACCCCAAACTAGATTTGAAAGTGATATGCTCAAGTTATATTTCTGTTGTCTCGAAGTGTATATCAAGTTATATATTCTTGTTGTTTCCTTAATATGCTTGTACCCATTTCTGCTCTGCTGATTTTTTAATGAGCATTTTGGATTGGGTTGTACTGACTGTGTCATGATTTACTAAAGGATCTTACTATCTGTCTCAATTCTTTAAGGGCTAGCCTTTTGTTCAATGTCCCTAATGCCCAATAGTTAACTCAAAAGGAAGCGCTCGCTAAGATTTGCTAATTAACTATTACCAGTTGTTCCTGTTGTAGAATAAGAGTCTTCTTTTGGTATTTGGGGATGCTCCTGTGGTGATCCATTCCAAAACCACTGATCTTTCTTGGTGGTTGTTTCTTCAGTTGACTTACTAGGAGTTGCCTGGGCTGTGAGGAGAATGTCAGTTGTGAGCCATTATTGCCAAATGTTTTCATCAACAATTGTTACGTCTTTCTGAGGACACATAGATGAGTAGGAGAAGGAACACCGCAAAGGCAGAAATGAGAGATGCTACCAATAACCTATAGTGGGTGTTATAAATCAAATGATTCCATCTTTTAATTCTTCAGATGAAAAACCTGGGATTCACAGAAACTTTTTTTTTAATCCAAGATCATATAGCCAGATTGAGGGAAAGCTAGGACTAAATCATAGTCTACGTAACCTTAGTATTATTCTTATTTCATTATATTCTATAGTCTCATATGTTATTCTCAGTGGTCTCACGGGCATCGGAGGCGTAGACAATGAATATGAGAGACTGAAGAAAAATTGATATCTTTGAATGCTGACAAAAGTATTGTCAAAAGGAAATAAACATATCATGAATTGTGGGAGAATGGGCAATTCTGTCCTGGAAAAAAGTTCAGCTAGAATGCTCCTTAAAAGCAAGAAGACCTAGACTTCATCTCACCTATTTTGAACATGTTATTATCAAGAGGGACTAATCCCACAAGAAGGACATTATGCTTGTTAAAATGGAGAGATAGGAAAAAAGAGGAAGACCTCCAAGAAGAGGAATTGACACAGTAAATTCAACCATGGACTCAAATATAGAACTGGATGTGAGACTCATGTAGGACTGGCCAGTATTTTGCTTTGTTTTTTTATACTGTCACTGGAAGTCAGAAAACACACACACACACACACAACACCCACACGGCAAAACCTCAGGGACACCCAAGAACAGCAAGATTCTCTATCTTTTGTTAAAAGAGTTACTATTTCATTCTAGTGATTTTGGATAAAATTATGAAAAATCAATTTATTATGGCTCCTTCTCAAACGGTGGCCATGTAACTCGTAATCACACACACTGAAAATACACCAGTATGAAAGACGCTGGGGTAACCGGATGCCAATCCATTGATGCCTTACATGTGTATGTCTATGTGGCATATAAAATTGCTAAACTTACTTATAAAATTAACCCAGTGGAATAAAAATTATGTTAGTGCATATTACATATAATAATAGTATGTTATGTAAGGCTTAAGATTTTTTCCATTCCTTGTTAACTGTCAATGCCTTCAGTTTTGAAAAGACTAAAATTTCATCAAGGTGTCTTCAGGAAACATCACAAAGCCACTGAGATGTTCATCTACAACAAATTTCTACTTCAAGAAAACGAGAACCCATTAAGTTGTCAAGCCAAGGTGTGCTTTGTCGTTTGTAAAGCTATTTACATCTCAATATCTTGGAAAACTTTTCAAGTGACATGATAATAGAAAAGACATTTTAGAAATATGATTTACTGTCCTTATTTTATTCTTGCATTGACCAAAACATTTCTAGGATTAACTGGCTATTCAGAGAAGTTTTACTTCCCACTGAATAAATCACTACCTCTTGATGAATATTGAAACTTAAAGAAAAAAAAATCCAACAGATTTTTAAGTACAAAGAGAAAAAATGACCTCAATATAGACTGCTATGTTACTAGAATTTAAAAAAAATATATATGTACATACAACTCTATATATTCTTATCACTATCTTATAAACATAATGGCTTTTAAAGGACTCAATAGTGTTCTGATATTTCACACTACCAATTTTCAGAAAGCTTTAGAAGAGTGCAAGAGTTGTACTATAAAAATTTCAAACTTCTTTAGCTTTCCCTTTCAACTTAATAAAGCTCAACCCATTACCATTAAGTCTGAACTCACTCACATCTATAAATTGCATGACAAGAGATTGCCCATAATTCTTCCATGGAGTAGCTGATGGGATGGATTTCCAATCCAAAGAAACATAGTTCGAATACACCAGCTGCTTTCTGGGAGAAGTATGGACAATCTTCTTCCACATGACTTACTGCCTCTGAAAACCCACTGGAGGGTCAGCTATGAGTTGGTTCTGACTTGATGGTATAAAACAACAACAAGCTATGGATTGGCAGAGCTATTCCTTACACACTATACCACAAGAGCTACTACAAGTTGTTAGCTCAAAGCAAAGCTTCTTTTGTTCCAGATAAGCCTGACATCTATAACTATGTGAAAGGAGAGTACATATTTCCTATCCTATCTTTTTTATCCTGTCAAGAAGCCTTGGTGGAACAGAGGTTAAGAAAGAACTTGGCTGCTAACCAAAAGGTCAACAGTTGAAACCTGCAGGCCAATCCATAGGAGAAAGATATAACAATCTTTTTCCATAAAGATTACAATTTTGGAGTTCTGGTATCATAGTCCATGGTAGGTTGAGCTGCTAACCAAAATATTATAGCCTTGGAAATCCTAGGAGGAAGTTCTACTCTTCCCTATGAACTCATTGAGTCAGAACAGATTCAATGGCAACAGGGTTGCTTGTTTATAATCTTCACAGTCCAGTGGTGCGATTTGAGATTGTTTAGAAAAGCTGAGATCTACACATATACATAGACATAACAAGGCATCAAAGCCTTCTACAAGTTAGCCAATGTTTAAAGACAGAAAAGAGCATCTGTAAAAATGAAAATACAGACCATCTGAGCCACATACTTTTCTCTAAAGAGTATATAGAATGTCTTCAGACAAGTTAGTGAGGACCACACATGAAAAAGATCACATAGAAGATCTTTGGAGAAAATGAAATCTTCAGAGAATGTTTCATCCGGCAGATCCTGCACTAAACACCAAAAGAACACAGTGTTCATCATACATTTCCATAAACACACACAAATCATCAAAATGAAACCACAAGGAATCTTTCACACAAAGATCGTATCCCGGATATACTTTTTTAAACAATTTAGCCTTTTGGATAACTTGACAAATTAACATCTTCTTCCTGACAAATTCTAAAAACATTTCTAAAAGGAAAACTGTACTCTTGGAAATGTTTTCAGATTCTAGAATAAAAGAAATTACTGTGTGGAGATGGACTAGCCAAGTGTACATAAAGTCTTTGTAATGACACGCCTCACTTGCTTAAATGAGAACTCCTGACTGCCATCCTTCTTACTTGTGCTGGTAGAACGCTGGGTTTCCTCATTGTGACGATGCTCGGGGTGAATGGCAGGAGGCTGGGGTTCCCGAGTCCAGCTTTCTTCATGAGTGCTGGTGTCATTTCTGTCCACATCTGTTGCAATGATGGTTACATACACCGTGACTTTTTAGTGCCCAACATCCAATGTTTCTATTCTTCCATTATGCCATTGAGCAGTTCTATGCTTAAATAGTATCCTCAATAATTTCCAGGGAATTCACTAATGTATCCCATGAAAAACCCAGTAATAGACATGGATTTGACCAATCATTGTCATTCTACTCGAAGCACTCTATCAAGAGTAGTACCTTAAATAATTTCAACATACCGATTTTATAACGAAACAAGAAGAAATACTTGTGCCTATGACTGACAAATGTCTCCTAAGTGGAATGGAATTATTCCTTGTAATCCATGAAGAATTTGTAATAAGTTATAAACTACACTTCCCACTATGTCCTGATAACTGAATTTGCTGCGTCACAGCTTTGAGGAAAAAAACCCCCAACAAAACCCAACAAAAACACACCAAACAAAAGACACACCCAACTTTAATAATATAATCCGTACCAATCATCGCTGTAGTAGTCTGAAGTTGTACTTCTGGGTGTGCATGGTCTAGGATCCATTCCTTCTGATCCTCGTTCTTTCTTGTGGAGTGAATAGCTTGTGTGGTTGAAACTGTGATGATGATTGAAGCAATTAGAAAAACATATTTCTTGATCCTCCACCACTTGATCTGCACAATTTCCCCCTTCTTTAGTCTATAGAAGGACTCATCTATATCAGGCAGTATAGATGGTTGAGTGAAAATGGAGCGAAAAGAAGAGAGGATCTTCAGCTTTTTCCAGCCACATTGTTAAGCATCTCAGTGTCCTTTGCATTCTGTCACAGAATACCTTTGTGTTCAGAACATGAGATCTTCCAGAGAAGTCAGCCAAAGAAGCTGCAGCATGAGGAAGAACAGCTTTTCCAGCACCAGCCCTCCACCAACGATAGCCAATGCATCCATGCAGTCTGTAGTGACCCTCTGTCCTTGAAAGCCCAAGGGGTTTGCCTCACTGGGAAGTGGGCTACAAGCAGATCCTCATGCTTCCTCAGAACTGAAGAGGTGGGTATTGGAAAGTTATTCCTTGCTTGTCTCTCTGTTTTGTGACTATTTCTGCTGTAGGGAGAAATAACCACCCAAAGCAATCAGGGTCATCCTACAGGAAGGCATATCTCCTGGAACCCTCATATGATTAAGATTTATACCTACAAATATTTATCAAATACCATGGTATGCTCAGCAAATACAAAACATATTGTGAGAAAGCATCATGGGCAATGAAAGAAAATAAGACATAGGTGTTCCATTGAACAAATGTATGGTAAACTAACCACTGCCACAGCAGCACACCATAAACAAAACCAAACCATCTGCCAGGGCCCTGATACCATCACCCACAACATGAGAGCTGAAAGAAGATACACACCAGGAAGAAAGAGCAGCAAAACCAAAACCAACAGCTTCAGGGGAAAGATCATTAGCAAAAGCATACACCAATTTTCTCAAACTTTACTTTGGTACCCAAATAATACAAAATTATTTTTTATTTGATAGTAATACTACTAATTCCATTTCACAAATGAAGAAAATTCTGCTTAGAACAATGAACCATATTTTCAATCAGCATGAAAAGCTGTCAGCTACTACATCCTTCTAGAAGAAGTATGTAAAAAAACACTTCCTGCTGAATTGTGTGCCTAGGTCCCAAGCAGAAGAATGAGCTGGAATTGGAAAACTAGCTACAGAGACTTTTTTTAAAAAAAACAAAACCAAACCACCAAACTGTAACAATCCAAACCCTATAACATTTTCCCTGGAGTTTGAGTTGCCGCCCATGAGAGTTTAGCTTCTTAGTTACTTAGACGGTATCTTTACTCATAGTCTCTCCTTGAAGGTGAGGACACAGCTGAAGTCACCAAACCGAGAGACAGTAAGGATCCAGCGTGCTTGGTCATTTGCTTTGCTTTCTGTAGGTTTTCCTTTTCCCAAAGACTAATCTCTCAGTGGCAGTCTAGACTGAGAGATATGCCACTTAAAGGCCAAGACACAAAACAACCAGTTAATTTTGAATATTTGCTGTCTCAGTGCCATATACCCAAATTATTTCAAGATCTAAGCTGAGGTTTTGGAGTTTCTGCCAACCACAGGAGTTATCCATTTATGGATGTTCTAGGAACTCTGATTTCATTAGCATAACTAGCATCCTGGTCCATGGTGTAGCATCCAAGGCTCACCGTCTCTAAGGAAAGGCAGAGCCATGATAAAGCCAAGTTCAGGATTCCCATCTCTATTATGTCTTAAACTAGTATATGTATGCGTAGGCAACCCACATATGAACAGCATATGAAGAGCAAGCTTTTCCTATTTTTCTTTTACTTTTCAAAGAGGAGAGTGAACTGGGGGGAGGGGTGGGCAGGGAGAAAAGTGCAACAATGAATGAATGGAAATCCAAAGTCTCTGTAAACTTTCATTAAAATTAATAATAAAAAAAATTTTTTTGAAAAAGAATATTTTCTAGCTCAACTTCTGTCCCTTTTGACTAAAAAAAAGTAGAATAATTGTCACAATTCTAATATAGTGGTGTCAACACTGTTTCTCTTAATATTTGGTACTGTTTTGTTAAAGGTCAGTGTTTTCTTACAGTGATGTGCAACTTAGCTCTTAAAAGCTTCCTTTGTCCCTTTAAATTCAATTGGATTTTGAGTAACTTGGACACTTCTTGTTTCCAAACTGTATGATTCTAGAGCCTTCTATGCCTTCCATTTAGGGTTATCTATACTTTTTAATTTACACTCTCTTAATCACATTATCCAAATCTATTATTCCAATAAACTAGAAGCTGCTTGGGAGCAAAGACTCTGACCGTTTTCATCTGTGTGCCCTCAGAATCTAGTTCAGTAGATGCACAATGAATATTTGTTGTGATGCTTTAATATATCATTCACTACAAAGATCAATTATTAAATATTTGCTGTAGTAGTTAAAAAGAGAATCTATAGCAGCATACCACATAGGTAAACAAATAGGAAGAATAAGTGGTATTAGAAATTATTTTTCCCCCCGTTTCTTCTCCAAATACATTTTGGCATCAATCCAAAGAATTCTATTTCATCCTCTGTGACTTTATCAAAATATTGAACCACACTTGTTTTATGAATTAACTAGTTCCTAATATAGATACCTATTGCTTAGTACCCAGATGAATCAGTAAACCTTGCACAGATTGTTTGACTGTAATTGATTATTCTTACTGGTGCTGGAGAAAAAATCTTCATCATCATCAATTCCTGATCCAGAATAGGTGGGAGGCTTGTCTCTTTCCTCTTCATTCTCTTCATTTGGCTCCCAGCCTGCTGACATGGTATTTGAGTCCATACCTGTTGTGGTGACTTGTGTTAGTGGCTGAGCTTGATGTCAAACAACCCATTTGAGAAAGGAGGAAAACCAGGCATAGAAGGTATCATGAATTGTCCATGTTTATAAGATGGAAAACGACAGTTGGCTTGAAGACCCAGAATCCGATGCCCTATTCTCCAGAGCTAACATAGGAATTTTTAAAGGTCTTTACAATTGAACATTCTCTTTAAAAAAGCTAAAATAATAAATATGGCCATAATTCTACCAAAAAAAAAAAAAGAAAATAAAAAGCCAATGAAAATTCCCTCCATGATTTCACATGTGTTTATTATTGAGAAGAATAATAAAAAGAAGTCTACTGAAAAGAGGTTCCCTAAATTCTGAATGGAAGTAAGGGTGTCTTTTTGGCATTTAATGAGTGTCTACTCCAATAATTCCATTGATACATTTCTGCATTTTATTAAAATTACCTGTTATTTTGTTTTCTAATAAAAAACCTAAAATTTTTTATGACTTAGATTGCTTTAGAAGATATATGAACAACCTTTCAGAGTTAAACTTATGTTCTATCATCAAGAAAGATCTGTCTCAAGGAGCTCTGGTAGCCTACTGGCAAGAAGCTGCACTGTAATCCCAAAGGTGTGCAGTTCGAATCCACCAGATGCTCCATTGAAGAAGGAGAAGCAATCGCCTTCTGTGCCAGTTGGATTTGATTTGTTGGTACACAACAAGAAAAAGGGGGGAAAAGAAAAAAGAAAGATCTGTCTCTTTTTCACAGTCTTTATACTAGCTTCCTCCTAAGTGATACTATATCTATATCTATAAAATAGAAAGGTGAAATTGATTATTAGTACTACAAAACAAACCACATACTATCAGAGCTCAAGTCCTAAGATCATCACAGAAACTAGAGACCAGACTGGTCGTTAGACTTGGTCTTCCACAGAGGTTAATAATTATTGAAGATTGTCAAGAAATCATATACAATAAGATATTCATAACTTACTACCAGTCATTTTTGTTGTTGTTTGGAGATGACTCTCAGAATGTGATGGTTGAAACCACCATGAAAACCAGTCCTTGGCTTCTTGACTCTTGACTGTTGTTTCAGGTGTTGAATCAATAGTGCTGGTCAAAGCTGTTGTAACCATGATTGAATTGATTGTTGAAAGGTCAATTACCAGTTCCCAAGGAAAAGCAATATATATATCTATATATATCTATATATATATATATATATATATATATCTCCTTACACTCTAACTGCCCAAGAGTATTACCTATCCCTGATAGAGATATTAGGAAGAGAAAAAGCAAAGAAGTACCATTTCCTCCCCAGTGGCCATATTCCGCCAGTTCATAGAATGTCAGAAATTAAAATATCTTAAATATCATCTGGCTTATACTCTTTATTTTAAACATGAAAAATTGTGTTGGACAGATCATCTGATTTGTCAGAAGACATAAGGTTAATTAACAGCAGGATATTCTTAAGGAGGGCATGAGTGTTATATTTAGATTTTTTTAAAGGTTGTAATATAAAAAGGAAAATTACTTTTTTTTTTTTTTGTAAGTCAGCCTAACACTCAGAGGGGAGAATTTCAGGGATATGGATTTTAAAAGTAATAATAGAAACTACTCAATGGTAAGCCTTTCCATAAAGTATATTATGTTCACACTAAGTGGAGACTGGATAATTACTTAGAATTGAAGTTGCATTAAATAATCAGAAAATCTGATTGAACTAGAGCATTAAAAAAAAAAAACAAAACAAAACCAAAAACCTTCAAATCTGAGATTCTATGATTCTAAAACCTACCTTTCCAGAATCCTACTCCCTTGGCACAATTTCTAGTGATCAACTAATATCATTCTCCTATAGGTTAGGATATGATATTTCCACCAGAAACTCCAGACACATAATTCCAGGAAGCCCAAACAGAGGAAGAAAGGAAGGCAGCAAAAGACTTTGAAAAGATGGTTGCCCACTTTTCTCAATTTAAAGTCCAAATCTACTGCCAACTTTATCCATGGTCATTCACATCAGCACCATATCTTTGTGAAGCAGAACAGGACATTTTTAATTCAATTTTTAGGAACAGGGTAATCAACCAGGAAAGGAAGAGATGAAGTAATATAAGATCCCATTAATAAGATCAAAAGTTAGAGAATTGGGCATGAAATAGTATTTGGAAATTTCTAAAGACTGTCATTTTTGCTGCCATGATGTGCATCAGAAGATTATCAGGTAACAGTAGACCAAACCCTGAAAACAAGTTGCTGCAACCATTATTAATACCCAAACACAAAAGCAAGTTCGACTTATTAAGGCAAGATAGACTTTTCTCTAAGAAATCCCAGAAACACCCCAAGATGAAACACTGCTAAGGTTTGTTGTTTTTTTCCCCCCTCCATACCATTTGTTCCACAGAAACAATCAATGTAAACATTTAAACATACAGCATCACAATCTGTACTTTACACCATTCTGCCTCTCCTTCTCCCTTTCTCTTTCCCCAGGATTATCTTAATCAATATTGCAACCATAACATAAGCATTATTTTCTTCACAGAATTACTTCTAGAAAGAAATTTAAACCAACAAACAAACAAACAAACAAAAACCTCTTGAAAGATTTCTTTCATTCAATGTTTCGTAAGAAAATGTGATGGATCATGGTTAACTGCTCTCCTTCTTGCAGACAGAATGTCTAATAATTGTGAAATATAATCACCAACAAAAGTCAGGGAGTGACATTATGCTGTAATTTTCCTTTGTTATAGACTTAATTTTCTCCCTTCAAAACTTTCCAAGACAAAATCCTTTGCAGTGATTTAAAGCTAAAATAACTATCCAGGAAGCTAGTTTAAGGTTTAGATGCTAATATTGAACATCAGGTCATCTGTACCTGCCAATTATGGTGTTAGGCATCCATAGTTTACATTGTCTACCTAGATTATTAACTCTGTCTATGAAATAGACTAAAAAGTAGAAATATGCATTTTCTAGTAGACTTCGTTCTAGAGGGCATGTTTTAAATAAATCTCATAGTCAGAGACACTAAAGAAAAAAATTATTCTGATTCTATGTTCATATTGCCAAAACGAAATATGACAGGATAGTTAGGAATGTCCTTTCATATTCCCAGACACAGGCTTCTCTGACAAATGAGGTAATTCCAGACTGTTCTAAGGATGGTGAAGAAGCATCAGTGGACAACTCTGGCATGATACTAGGTGCTCGCTTCCTTCACATGGAATGACCTGCCATTTAAGACAACTGCTAAGCCAAAGTTGTAAGCATTTACCTGTTGTTGCTGTTGCTGAGACGTCCTGAGTCTCAGGTTGTGAATTGCCAAACCAGGACCATAGCCAACTGTTTTGTTTCTGAGTTGCTGCATGGTTGTGTGAATGGACAGTTGAGGGAACTGGATCAATCATGAAAATATAATTTAGTGGCATCCTTCAGCATTACCCTCAGTTCCTTCTATAAACACACACACACACTGTTCACATTGTTTCTCAGGGCAACACCAAAAATTAAAATGCTTTATGGATATCAATTCAATGTTACAAATTTTTGCCAAACTGAATTCCCTGAACACTGGCTCTGAGCAAAATAAAAATAGCAACCTCACCCTGTGATAGAAGAGATTTTTTTTTATCTACTTAATTTGATGACTTCACAATTAACTAAAGGTCTTTGATGTGGCATTTCATAAAGTTTCTTTCATTCATTTAGCCTTAGAGCATCATTGGAGCTGCTTGCCTATATTTTTACAGTCTGTCCATCATTGTATCTGGTAATTTGTGATAACAACAGGTATGACAATATTCCACCCATGCCACTCAACCTTAAATCAAGCTTTCTATATGAGCAAGGATTTCTAAAAACTTTGTTTTCAGTATGTGTGTGTGTGTATTCAGTGTAAAATGTAGATAAAATTGTCTTGAGTGTCCCTCTACCACTCTTCATCCTAATTCAATATGTGCTGTCCGGAGAGAGAGAAAACTTAAAAGTCAGAGAAATTCTAGACTCCCTAATCAAATCACAGAAAGAATAATCAGTACATTTTGCACTTTATAATCTCTCCTCTCCTCCTCAAGGTGAACTTGACTCAAGAATGTTTTTTGATAGAAGAAACATAATGGCAAGAATTGTCCTAACACTGATTTTAAAAAAATAATGTTAAGTCCTCTATCTCTTTAAAAGCTCAATACAAGTGGTTTCTCCTCTCACAACATTGATACACTTCTACCTCTACACTCTCAAAATTTTGCACATAGTATGTGGTAATTCTTGGATCTATCAGTGAAACTCCAGAGACCCCATGAGCCCCAAGTTTTCCACTCTAGGTTGACTCTATAATACATGCTGAGCATCAACAACTTGCATAATAAGCTTCGTGCAATAAAGAATGTATTTGCTCATAATGGAGAGAAAGCCAATTGTACCAATGATGTCCCCAAAAATCAAGCCACGTATCCCCTGGAAAACCCACGGACACCCCTTTCTCAGATCAGCAACTTTACTAAAGATGTAAAGTTTCTATCACCTTCATCCTATTGTATACCAGGATGAGACCAACAGAAAAGAAACCCAATATAGAAACAGGCTATATTGGTTTCTTCCTGAAAAGAGTTGAGAAGGAAAAGTGTAAAAAGCTATTGCTCAGGCAGCAGAGATTTTTCGTTTTTCCTTACTCAAGTAGGTTCTGTCAGATTGAGAGTTTTTTGTTGTTGTAGTTTGTTGTTTTTTTTGTTTTTTTAAAAATTCTTCCTTTTGCATCCAGAAGACAAGAAAATTGAGCATTCCAAGGGAGGAGCCAGCTTCCTGAATTAGTTTCGATTACTAGATTCTAAAAAGTTGCAGATCACCACTAGGAAAGGGGCTGCTCACCAGCCTCTTTAGGATGACTTTTCCAAGGAGAACACTTAATAACAAGGCCACTGGAAGTTTAAATCAACCCGTAAGGTTGTTCTTTATTGATTTTCCCTGCTGCCACCCAGCAAGGATCCTTAAGGAAGGAATGAGGCTGCCAAGCTTCTAAGATCTCAGCCAGCCTTCCTCTTGACCTCTGCTTTCCCTTGTGCATTAGGGAGTCTCTACAGTCACTCCCTCATACTAAGTTCCAACCTTCAGCTCCAAAGTCAGAAGGCTTAGAAAATAAGGTTTCCTGAGGAACTTATCAGTACTAACTCCTCGTATTACACCATATTGTCCTTCTAACTCTCCACCTGGCTGTTTTCTTTGATATACTTCTTGTCATGGACTGATCTGTTTGAAGCTCCCTTACTGAACCTCGTTAAATGTCAAAGACTCTCAGGTTGACTGTGGCCTGCTCCTTAATGCCAACATCAACTTTTTCCTACATAATTAACTATGAAAATTTAGCAAAGGGTTGTAGATGCAGAAAAGCACAGTTCTTTTCTCAACTCAAATCCTGAACCATCTTCTTTTCAAGTGTCACGGAACTAAATCCCTTTCCTTGATTTAGGAGCCGGCCGATAGGCTCCATGAGGGGAGGTCTTTCTCTGTATTGTCCAGTAACTACAATCTCCAGTAATTAGAGCAATGTTTGGCACAGACACTGTTTAATAAATGAGCATCTTACTCCTCTTCAACATTACTTTTTGAATCTTTTTTTTTTTCATTGAATTCCTTAACATCTTAAGATAGAGCTGGTACATAGCAGATCCTCGAAAGATATCTGGGGACTAACTCAGGCAGGAAAGGCACAATCCTTAAAAGGTAGGCTATAATTATTGATATGATAGATTAGTTGCCTTTTTCTAAAACACATGGAAATATTATTTTACATAAACTATTAGCTATTATTAAGGAGCTCTGATACTAATGTGGCTTAGGGGTAAGGCACATTGCATTACCAACCTTAAGGTGCTTGGTTCAAATTCATCAGCTGCTCCATAGGAGAAAAATGGGAAATCTATTCCCATGTGATTGATAGCCTCTGAAAACCCACTTAGGGTCAGCTATGAGTTGGTTCCAACACGACGGAACGTAATAACAGCAACAACATTCATGTAGTTATTATGGCTCCTTCCTGAGAAGAGTTATGTGAAAGGGGAAAGTAGCAAAAGCTCCTACTCGGCCATCAGAGCCTTTGCTTCTCCCCATCAGGTAGAGGCTGCTAACATAAAGGTTGGTAGTTTGAACCCACTAGCTACTCTGAGGGAGAAAGATGGTGGACAGCCTCTTCCTTTAGAAATATACAGCCGCAGAAACTTGATGGAGGATGGCTATGAGGCAAAACTGACTCGGCTGCAATGACTTTGGTTTGGTTTATGTTTTTTGTCTTGGCTATTTGAATACTGAATTAATCTAACCCCACACACAGGATTTTGTCAAAACTGTGTCCTTTGGTGAGACGTAATATTTTAAGAATTGTTGCTGTTATGTAATGTCAAGTTGGAACTGACAACTGACCCATCGCAGACCCTCCAGCGAATTTTCAGAGGCACTTAATTGCCTGGATGGAGATTGCCCATCTCTCTCCCATGGAGCAGCTAGTGGATTTGAACCATGCTCCTGCGGGTTGGCAGTGCAGCTCACTAAGCCACCAGAGCGCCCTTTCAAGAGTATATCTGCTCTACTTTATGGTGAGAACACTAATGACGGTGTTTGTCAACATCTGATAAAATTCTGTACCCTAATAACGCACAAGGAAGCTTTGACAGCATAGCTGGCACAGCCAGTCAGGTGTTGCTCAGCTAACCCAACAGACATGCCTCTCTGGCAGTTCGAATCCAGCTTCTGGGAAGAAAGATGTGCACCCTCCTCGTATGCTGACCCAATAGAGGGTCAGTCATAAATGGGTTTCTACAGGACAGTGAGCTAAGTTATTGAATAATAAGCACATTCAAATGTGGCGTTTTTCAAAAAGCAGGAAGTCCAAGAAGCAACAAGTAGCTTACAGAATTTCCTCATGGCTTTGCGGAAGCTTCTCTCTAAAGTACTGGCCCTCACAGAACCAATGAGTTGGTGCTGGGTCCAGAGAGTTAAGAATCCTAGAAAGTGTGGGCAGCTTGAAAAGATCTTCTTTTTTAAATATCTCAGGGGATCAGCAAGGAATGAATGTAACAAAAAGGGAGGAATGAATGCAAAACAAAACAAAACCAACAACAATAAACCAGCTTTTACAGCATACCCTCAGAAAGCTGTCACAAAAATTAGAATTCTTTTGAGCAAGCACACTTAACTCCTAGTGCTCGTAACATCTTCCAGGCTCCTGGGTGATAGAAGAGATAGGAAAGGCTCCCTTTACCAGGCCTCAAACACCAGTCCATTTCTGACACACGATTCAGAGAGCTCACCCTCTGCCTCTCGGGAGCCACAGCCAGGAAAAAAGAAAATCCAGACCATACTAAGAAAGCAGCTCAAGATCCAGGCGCCTGTTTGCATTTGAATAATCCTCCACAAAAGGAACTAGGCCAATCTGGAAATCTGTTTTAAGATAAGCCATAGGGGGAAAAGACAAGAGGAGAGAGAAGGAGACAAAGGGGAGATGTAAACACTTGTCAAGGAAACCGAAGCGCACAGAATCCAACGTGATGTTTACATAGCTCCCCTCTAGTAGTTCCAAGGCATGAATAACCCACAAAATCCAAAGGAGTATTAAGAGCTTTCCCCAACAGGCTGGAAGACAGAACATGTAAGCTGATTTCATATGACCCAATAAGGCTTCCAGATATGCTTACTTAAACCCAAACCAGAAGAATTGTTTAGCAAATCATGGCTTATAAGTACCACAGAATATTATACAATTAGTAGTGAGTATAAATTAGACAAAAACATTTAAAAAATAAGTGAAAAATGTAGCTGATGGAATGGCATGTATACTTTGTGACCCCAACTTTATGAGAAGCATCTTATCTGTGGATAGGTAAGAATAAGGAGTAAATGTGAAAAACAGAAAGAACTTTTGTATCAAACTTGGATTGCTACCATACACCCAAGAGAAAAAAGGGAAGCTCTTCTAGAAACTTACAACACGATACTTCTTGTCACAAGGTAAGATACATGAAGTTATTCATTGGGGGGAAAAATGCAGGCAATTGCCATCAAATTCACACAGAACACTCTAGCCAAGTAACCCACCTACCCCAGTGATGGTATCTTTATCTAAAGACAGGAAGAAAAATGAACATTTGAGCACAATTCACTTGAAAAGGTCAGAGATGGTCTGCAGAAGAATGACTAAGGCAAAACACAGTGATTCAGTCTCCTTACTGATAGCTGGCGTGTTATCTGTGTTGTCAGAAGCCCAAGGATGGGATTTGTCTTCAGCTGGGTTTGTGGTTGGAAGGTAGGTGTGGAAGATGCTGTAACCTCCTGAAGTGCTCCGTTCACTAGATGAGCCACTGCTCACATCATCATCAGTGGGGTTGCTGGGATTGATGTCTTCTGGATTGGTCCTGTACTCTCCTTTCTGGCTGTAG